GATTGACGACGATGTCCCTCCTCTGTTCCGCTACACTCAAGGGGAATCGAGGCTCAATCCTTCAAGGTACAGATATCGCCTCGGAATGCAAGTCACGTTGCCCCTTTACATACCTTGCGTACAAGTGGTTTGATGTTATCTAATTATTCTTGTATTCTCTTGTTAATTGTGTTGGTTAGGCTTAGTGTTAGTTTTGCTTTTATTATTGTGAGTGAGAGAGAATTATTTGTCATTCCGATAGGTTATATTGATGAGCATTCATAGCCACACGGAGAAGGTTCTCCATGCCTTCTTTGTGTGTCGGTAAAAGTAGTGAAGTAATGGAAGCCTTACGTAACGACATTTACCTAGAAAAAGAGACAGGGAAAGGGATACAGACGTATTGCTTTCCGTTAAGATATTCTGTACATATATACGCCTCCCATTCACAATGAAAGGAAAACATTCACAAGAATGTTACATAGATCACTTTCTATAAAACACTTCACGCCACTTACGAATTCTATAACACACACGGATAGTGACATTCACTTGTTAGTTTAACCCCAGCATGTACGCATCTCTCTTATGACAATAAAAAACTGCAATATACACATTAGAATAATTACCAATTTAATGAATTCGAATACTCTAACCTATTTTTAGAGCACGAAACAGAGAGAAGAAGAGGAGAAGGAAAGAACGAAGGATTAATCAGTAAATAAAGGAACCCACGCGGAAAGGGCGTAGACAGGCGCAATGTAAACAAAGGTACTCGCGTCCGGTCTGCCGTCTTCCTTAATCGATTCACTGTTAGCATATTGTGTAGTTCCTGACTTAAGATAGAGGAGGAAGAGGGGGAGAAAGAAGAAAAGGAGACAAAAATGCGGAAAAGAGTTAAGTATTAGGAAATGTAGGAGAAAAAAAACAAACAGATAACGAGCTAAGAAAAGGTGGAGGATTGCAAAGAGGAGAAATAATAAAGCATAAATTAATATTATACACACACAGACACACACACACACATACACACACACACACACACACACACACACACACACACACACACATATATTATATATATATATATATATATATATATATATATATATATATATATATATATATATATATATATATAAACAAACAATCGAACGCATGGTTCTGCTATTTCTCACGAGACAGATTTTAAAAAGCTGACACATTGACAGAAACAAATTGTTTTCACTTGCTGAAATTATCTTGTGTGCTTTATTTTTATTTTTTTACCCATATTCATAATACCATTCTTCACAAACACATAGCCAATAAAATATACACCAATTCTACCTAGAAAGTATACCATCAAAGTATTACATTTCACCATTAGACAAAACATCATTCTGTTTAGATCACAGCTGTGATACGAGTGTTACTGCAGTGAATTGGCTTCATTATTATGCCAGTAAGCTGCATGCTGTAGTAGTCTGTACATGCACGGTATATATTGGTGATAAAAAGTAAAAGTGAATGGAAACAAACATGTGACTTCCTTGTGACTGTAGGTCATTAAATGAAAATGAAAGTTATTGTTGTTGTTATTATTATTATTATTATTATCATTATTATTATTATTATTATTATTGTTATTAATGTTGTTGTTGTTGTTGTTGTAATTATAATTATAATAATTATTATCATGACATCGTTATGCTTATCATTATCATTATTATAATCATTATCAGTATATGATTATGCTTACCATTATCATTATTATAATTTTTCATCATTATTATTGCTGTTTTGGTGATACCATCTTTAATCATCATTATGAACATTATTCTCTGAGTTTTGCGACTAGTTTCATGTACATCCTCGTATCGAATGAAAGTTCTCTTTAGAGAGAGGAGAGAGAGGAGAGAGAGAGAGAGAGGAGAGAGAGGAGAGAGAGGAGAGAGAGGAGAGAGAGGAGAGAGAGAGGAGAGAGAGAGGAGAGAGAGAGGAGAGAGAGAGGAGAGAGAGAGGAGAGAGAGAGAGAGAGAGAGAGAGAGAGAGAGAGAGAGAGAGAGAGAGAGAGAAGAGAGAGAGAGAGGAGAGAGAGAGAGAGAGAGGAGAGAGAGAGAGAGAGGAGAGAGAGAGAGAGAGAGAGAGAGAGAGAGAGAGAGAGAGAGAGAGAGAGAGAGAGAGAGAGAGAGAGAGAGAGAGAGGAGAGAGAGAGAGAGAGAGAGGAGAGAGAGAGAGAGAGAGAGAGAGAGAGAGAGAGAGAGAGAGAGAGAGAGAGAGAGATCGCAAATGTAAAAAGCACAGCCACACACACACACACACACACACACACACACACACACACACACACACACACACAC